ACAGAATCTTCAATCTGAAACTCAAATTAAAATAAATAATTCTTTACTTAAAAAGATACATCAAATTTAAACAATGATTTGAATCACCTTTGATAAAAGTAAAATTATTGAGCTTAAATTTAAAGAAAGGTTTGCTTAAATTAGTTGAGGAAATTGATATTTATGAAGTTATCAGGACTCTGGTGATGCCTATTTGGTTTGTCTATGATTGAGTGCATACTACATAAATTGTCCATTTAATTAACAACAAAAAAAATTATTGTGTTCATTTGATATCAGTAGTTTACTTGTGTTCCACTTCAGAAAACAAACCCTGTATTCTGGAAAATATTTTCATTGAACTTATTAAATTTGCCGCCAGTTCAGCTTTTAATAGTGAGTTGGAGGTTTTTTCATAAAACCCTAATAGATTGATTCCAGCTCTTGTGAAAAAAAGAAAGATGGTGTTTTATTTTCTTTTGGAATGTGTCGGTACAAAGACAAGATTCTAAGAAGATAAAATGCCATTATTCTCCTTTTCACAAGAGCTAGATGCAACCTATTAGGGTTTTATGAAACACCTAACTCCAACTCAGTGTACTGAAAAATGTTTTTTACTGGGTTGTATACTCGTTGGGACTCATTTTGTCTTAAACCGTGTAAACTTAATCTTAAGATCTTAGTTTTAGAAGAAGTCAATTGGGCATAATGGACTAAGAACAATAATTTATTAAGAAAATCTTACACAATCATTTTGGTGTCAATCAGTTATACATTTCCATAAGCAAGAAGTATTGGTTTCTGATAAAATTCATGTTTATTTAAGATTACCATATTTTGGAGAAACTGATACAAAACTTTGTAAAGAAATCTGTTTGTAGTCAATCAGTATATATCTTTTCTTCTCAGCCAATGTTTAAATAAATTTATAAAGATAGCTACACGTTTTTTCAAGCAAGTTCCATTATTTATCAATTTAAGTATCAGTTCAAGGCTGACTACATACATAGGACTCAGCAGCTATTAGCAAAGCTAATTTCCCAACATTTACCAGAAAGGTTAACTTGAAAATTTGCGTATGTGTTTTGTTACATACATGTCTGTAATCTGCTAGGATCTTGATAATAATTGACAATGTTCATCAAACTACCATGAGGTTAGGTTTTCTCTGTTGAGTAGATCACATTCTAACTTTCATCTAAAAGTTCTTGAGGCAGTTTTTATTAAATCAAAACAGCCCTCTTTATGTAAGCAAAAGAAATGGTTATTGGGTTTCAGTGTGATCTGTCAATATATTATGAACATATGTGTATTTCTTATCCTCATTTTTCCCTCCCCATTTTCTTTTAGTTGTTGTACACAGTATTTTAATTCCTCGAACTCTAACAAGAGACAACTGTTTCTAATATTTTCTTTTGTATTGCCATTTACCATGGCTGTATTTTCATTTGTCTAATTTCTTCACTTTTTTTTTTTTTTTAAATGTTTATTTTTATAGCATTAAAAACATGAGTGAAGGGAACATTAGTTAAATTATTGAAGTTGTTAAAACTTTTTAATGGATCAGAACTATTTTTGCATATTTTGAACTGGCTACTTCATTACAATTTGATAAAACAAACAACATTCTTAAAAGTAATTGCCAATTTCTAATAAACAAATTTACTAAGAAAGTTTGTAATTTTTGTTCTTCAGGGTTCTGATACTTTTACTGCCTGCATCAACATTGAAATCCAATGGGCAAGCGAAGTTGTGATTGCTGCTATTGAACGAAATGGAGGACGTATTACAACCCGCTACTATGATCCATTGTCTTTACAGGCTTTGTCAGACACATTACGATTTTTCAAATCTGGTAAACCAATTCCACGATGCCATCTTCCAACACAAGATGTCATTGAGTATTACACCAATCCTAAGAACCGAGGCTACTTGGCTGATCCAGATTTAATCAGAGAAGCTCGTTGGGAACTCTCTCAAAAATATGGTTATACTATCCCCAAAATTGATGGGGAAACTGAAAAAATGATGACAATACAGAAAGATACTAGACAGGTTTTCTTTAATTTGGAACCTGGCTGGATTGTTAATTTGAAAGAAAAATGTATCTATAAACCTACAGATTCAGAATATGTGGAATATTATAAGTCTTAATAAAGAATTTTTCTTTAAATAATTTTACAATAGTTCATTTAAATGTTAATGATATGAAATGATTAGATAGGCTTCTAGACATTGCATGCAATGTATTATACATCTGATAAATATACTATTCAGAAGAGAAGCAATTCTTTGCAAAATAGTAGTCATGTAAAGCTTGACAATAAATTTAGCCAGTAGCAGCACATCTTAAATGTATGAAACCATGAAGAACAAATAGTATCTTCCTCATCAAATAAACTGGCTTCAACTTTGGCTTTTTTTTTTTTTTTTATATAAACCTCATGACTAATAGAGCTTAGTCTGACTACATGTAGATTCAATAATGATTTGACCACTGGACCCTAGCTGAAGTTTCTTCCTGAAGAGCTAGAAGCTTCAACATCCATATGGCATATGAAAGAGGTATCATCTTTAAAAGCCAAACTTAATTTTTGAGATTTTTTTCCTTCAGTAAAAAATAAAAAATTAGTCTTAGAAATCTTCTTTCATGCTCTTGAATTTAAGAGGGAAACTAATTTAAGATTTGATTTTTCAATAAGCCTTTGTTGCATGTCTGTATCTAATTTTTGTAGGTTGTTAAACAATAGACAATTCAAAGTAACTTTTTTTTTTGCTAAGCAACTATCTCAGTATTAAGTGCAACATTTTCTATTAGATATTAGATGTCTTCATGAAGGTATGTGTGTTGATATAACTTTTATGCATATAATGCTACAAAATACACCAGCTGTGTTGCAAAAAGAAAAGAATCCTGTAGGTCAAGCATGATTTGGGAGTCAAAGCATAATTCCCACTAACCTAAAGCACCCAAACAATATATGTTACCAGATATTGTTTGTTCTTCATGGTAGTGTGGGAATGTTAGATGAAAATGCAGCAGAATTTATTTCTTGTATTTACATCATTTCCAGTCAGTAAGTCTAGAAATGAAACATTTAGATTTTTCAGACTCCCTAAATGAAAATCCCAAGACAGTTACCATGTGTTTCATTTCAAAAGTCAAGCTGACATTCTACAATATGAACTGACTGGTATTTTTCACTTTTTAAACTGGTAGCTTGTACTAACAAAGTAACCCTAGATACAGGACTATTTTTCTAATGATGATTCCCTTTTGTCAATTTATACTTTTGTCGACAAAACCAACTGATTTTAGGGAGATGGCACTGCACTTCAACTTTTGGTGGGTCTTGTGCAGACATATCTCATTTGTTTATAATATGGCATTGGTTAAGGGATCCCTTGAAAATTAACATTACAAAATAGACTACCAACCCTTATTACCCCCTTTTAGCATTTTCCCCTGGTGTTATCTCAACTTTCTCAAGAGTTTTAAGAGTATTTTATGCACTTGCTTGTTAAGAAAAAAAAAAAATTAATCTTCTATGAAGGGAAACCAAAAGCTAATCAACTGACCAAGCATCTGAATTTTGTGGAGAGGGCTTCTAGGTTGATTGAGAACATTTCATCACCCATCCTCATGTAAAAGGAAGATCAGAGCCATTGTTCTTAAAGTAACAATTTTTATTTTTTTGCTTAAAATCTCCTACAAATTATACAGTATTATTAAAAGGTAAACATTTTTATAGATTCCATGCTTCATTTTCAATTTACAGTTGGATATCTTAATAGGTTACAGAATATAAACCTGCAGGTCCTCCTGTATGAGCAGCAATTCTTCTCCACTGCTGTCAATCAGCCTCATCATGTTCTATTTCTTCCCATCACCACTTTATGGTCACAATGTCATACTTTGAACATGTAACAATAAAGCCTCTATAATCAACGTCAAGTGATTTAACTGAAATATTCTATCACAGTAATCTTATGAGATTACAAATTTCATCTCTACACAGCCATCCAAATATTAAAGTCAGTGTTAAAAATAATCACCCTGCAGTTTAAACTATGCAAGCATCTCAATACAAAAATGGTATTTGAAAACATGACTAGAAAATAGTAAGAAATACAAGGCAGCAAGCAAACCTAAGCTGTAATAAATACATTTGAACAGCCTTTACTAATTTTTGACTAGTATTCATTTCATCTTAATTTCAGTTGCTTTTCATTGCAAATATTCAGGATATCATCTTACAGCCATAAGTTAAAAGCTGAAAAATTGTAATGAAAAAAGATACTGAGCAAGAATTAATAATGATCAACATACTACTATATTTGAACAGTATTGAATTTGTGTAAACTCATTTGAGGAATCAAGAGAATCATTCACCTCATGAAAATACTGTTTTAATGGACACATTTTATGCAATCAGTTTGAAGTCTTATTTATACATGTTTGATCTCAGATTTAACAAAATCAGATTGTTATACAAACTACATCAATTCTAGCAATAGATTTTTTTCAAATATCTGTTGCATTTGCTATGCCATAAATATTGAAAACAAAAAAAAACTTAGGCATTATGAGAACCAACTTATATTTCCTTTCCTGAATTCTTTTGACAAATGTTTTAGTTTCATACCACAAATTTATCTCATAATCCAGTTTTTATAACAGGATTGAACATTTGCCACAAATATTTTTAATTAATCCAGTATTTTTAAAACGGAAATGTAATTGGTATTTAGAAAAGTTATTTTACAAACAATCACATGTATGTATAGAGAAATTCAAAAGATTTTAAAATTATTAATCTAGTTAATTTTCTTGAAAGTTTCTCATCTTTTATATTTTTTAAATTAAACTTTGGACAATTTTAAAACATTCTCATTTTTCAAGAAAAACAACAAATATTTAATCAAGCTTTATTTTATCCAAAATCTGAATAAAGGATTAAAAAGTAACCAATTACATTAGTCAAAAATATACAATGAATTAAAAAGTTAAATATATAATGTTACTGAATTACATGACCCATCTTGTTTAAAAGATTACTTTTGTGATCCATAGGATTAGCTTGGGCTTCATAATTGCAGATTGTAACTCCATGTCGTCTCATCTGAAAAACAATACATTGATTTTTACTATAAAAATGCATTTATGCAAACAAAAGTAGAAGCAGTTACACATCTTCGTTTTTAACCAAATTTTAAAAATGGAAAATTTTTCTGATAAAGAAAATTGCTATACAAGTTTAACCGAAAGCTCTTTTCAAATAAAACTGACTATACTTCTAACACTTATCCCCTCATTAGGAATTACTTAAATTGTTATTGTTGATATTGTAAAAAAAATATGAATCCTGTACTTGTCTAGTCACTAGATGAAGAAATTTTTATTTGCAATTCAGTTTTATTAACACTAAAAAAAGAAAAAAAAAAAAAAACATTTCCAATATGCAGTAACACTTCACCATCATCAGAATTGTCAACCACAGTTTTATTTATTCAGTGCTAGCCCAATCAGAAATTTTCATGTTCAAAACTTAAAACTAAAATAATAATGGACATAATAATTTTTTTGGAAAGATAAAAAAATTTAAATGCCCTCAAAACCTGAGTCATCAGGTCCTGAGAGAAATAGTTCAAATTAAATAAATTTTTTTTTTTTTTAATTTGTTCACTGTCATCTGAAACAGGTCATTTTTCACATATGGTTAAAGATACTGCTTGATGATTACATCAATTGAACTTAAATTAAAAAATATTGTCAAATAATTTGTTTTCATAAAATTAATTTTTTTCTAAAAAAGAAAAATATTTAAAACATTTCAATCCCATTTTTTAAAAATAATACGTAAAATTCTCAGTAAAATATTTTTGGTATAGTATATATATTTTGGTATGTATGACCAAAAATTTTGCTATTTACAAATTTCAATACCATGAGTATCAACAGTACTACTATATATAATTTTGATATGAAATTTAAATTTGTAACAAAAAACTAATTTTTTTTTTATACACATTCAATTATATAAATACAGATAGACAAATAATTACATATTCTAGTTTTTAGGTTATTTTCTAGTACTCTTTCTTAACAAACATAACTGTCTTCCACCAACTACTCCAAAATGGAAATGTTCATATAAGAAATCAGATCAAAGAATAATAGTTTTAATTAACAACCAATTTATATAGAGATTATACTTCATCATGTTTTTGCTTCTAATGACAAACTAAATTCTTCCACAATTCTACACTTCAGGTTGATTATAGTTTTTTATTTATCACTATCAAGAAGTATAAAAACAAAAGAATTGTCTATACACAAGTAAAAGTTTAGTATGCATTATATTTGAGTTTTACAACCAAGCACATGCAAGTAAATACAAATAATTGTAACAAAAACTTTTGAGGAATGCTGTTTTAACAGTTCATGATTATTTTTCATAAAAAACAAAAAACATCAAAGGAACTCAGTGCCAATAGTAAAAATTTTATAAACCAGACATCAATTTGAAACTAGATCAGCTATTAAAATATTAATTGAATGGAATTTTGCAAGTCATGTTGAAATAAAAAATTAAAATCATATCACCAAAATAATTTTATTAGTTAATTATTGATCATTTTTAAGCAAATATTCTTTCATTTTATTTTTCAGTATTCATCTAGAAAATATTGAAGTGTTCATTTTTCCATTTGCTCAACCAAAAATATAATTTTTAATTTGGTCACTTTCTTCACAAAACAAATTTATCAATCAGCTTTCTATATAGTATACTTTATATTTACTAGTACCATTGGTACTCATGGTGGTTGAATTTGTTTAGTGGCATATCAACCTCTATGGGTTATTTAATGCTAAAATCTAAATATTTTGAACACAATCTGATGACTTCAACTACAGATGAAATGTATTGTTGATAATTCTGCTATAAATAGTTTTTTTTTCTAATCATTTCATCCCAAGCAAGGCGGAATTATCACTAGTACACAAGGGGGTTACATAAAGTGAAAGAAAAGACTAAGTATGGGGGGGTGAGGAAAGGACAAAAGATGAACAGGGTTCAAGTCAACAGAAGATGGCAATTGATGTTGCATTAAAATTTTTGAAGATTGTAATTATCAGGGAAGCAATTAAGCAGAAGGGAATTCCACTGTTGAGAAGTGCACATAGTTGGGACCCTAACAGGTGCTACCACCCTTTCAAATTTGAAAGCCTATTATAACAAATACATGTATAGAATATAAGTACATGTCTGCTTATTTGATTACATCCCGACAATGTTTTTGTTATTCTATTGTAAACCAAATACAATACTCTTTTGGTGATCATAAATTTAAAATACTACACCATACATGACAACAGTAAGAACATAACTCGCCTATAATTAAGTATATTTAATGTGTTCAAAAGATAAAAGAAAAGAAACAAAAAGTAAGATATGGCTGACAATAAGGGGAATCCTGCTCAGCAGATTCCTGCAAACAAAAATACAATTAATAATTCTCATTTATCCTATATGCAAATTTGGATCACCAATGCAGAGAATGAGGAAAATGTTTTACAGTATTTTTTAAATGAATAAAAATTATTGCAAAAACTAAGACTGAATGATCAAAAAGCTTTTAATATTTACAAACCAAGACTCATACAAAAATAACAGTGTGAGTTGATTTCTAATTCAGAATAAGCACAAAATGGAGATGGACACAATGCAAGAGTCAGTAAGTAAATTGGTTTATGAACAAGGAAGCTAAATGGTTAGCAAGCAGATCTTTAAGATCATTATTCTTTAGCTCCATCCTAACTGAATGCACTATACTTTGGGTTTGTGATTAGTAAATAACTGGTTTACGAATAAGTCATATGGTAACATTTTATTCATTTGTAGAGAGATTTTGAGGACAAATTATTTTCTTATCATCACCTCAAATGGCAAATTTATCAGCATTTTTCTTTGCATGTTTCAGTAATAGGTATCAATTGCTGATTTTAAGGATATTTTTTAATTTGGCTTGATATATATAAGAAGTATTTGTGACAGCAACACTTTATAAAGAGCCTTCATCTTCACAAGTTCAACTTTTAGTATTCTGGGAAAATTTACAATTGAAACAATAATCACTGAAACAGACTTGTTTTAAACATAAATCATTTAAATTTGTAAAAACATTGCATAAGTCAAAAAATAATTAAATCAATTATTAATATGAAAATTATTAAATTTTCATGTAACTCACAGAATAAATGCAAATCATTTATCTTATTCTATTATAGTTGGAAAGATAAGAGCAGTAAAGAAAACATCTGACTTACCTCGGTGAATTCTCCTCGAAGCCCAATGTAGTGAATACGGGTATTTTCAGCACCAAAATTAGTTGAAAAAAATATTGTGAGATGCTCAACTTGATTAAAACGTGCAACTCTGCAAACAACAAAGTTTGGATGCTTTAATACGAATAAACATTTTAAAATGTAGCTGAGCAGTCAAGTAGAAAAACTTTGTATGAAAAGTGTAATGTTCAATGTTATAAAGGCACAAGTGTTTTAAGAAGCCTCCGGATAGCAATCATCTGGAGCCTTCACAGGAAAAAGGATCCACAGATTCATTTGGGACCTAATTTTCAAATATCAAAAGAAATGCAATAAAGATTAATTTCTTATTGATTTTTACATCCTGCAGATTTTATCTCACAATTTTTATCTTGAACATCAATGTCACATCATACAGAGCATAACTTTGTTATGTGCTAACAAAAGGCATGATGATAATATGAAATAATTATATTGTGAACAAGATAATCTCCTGCCACTTTTTATAAACAGACAAAATTTATTTTCTTGCAGAACACTTCCCATTTGTAATGGCAATGTTACACTTACCCCAAAATAAAACAAAATGACATTATTTCAGAAAAGAAAACATACAAATTTGATAATAAATTTTGAACATAACAAAAAAACCTTTTATCTGAATATGTCATTCCTATTGTTATAAGACACAGACAATACATTTATATTAGACGTGTAACAATACGTGTGCTGACTTGAGAAAAAGTTAAAATATCAACTAAGAAAAAAAAAAAAGGAGTCTTTATATATATATATATATATATATATATATATATATATATATATATATATATACACACAATATATGTGCACAATTTCCTGTTACCATAAAAAAAAATAGTTAAAAAAAAAAAAATTATGCAGGGTTGAATAACATTCTCTGAAAAACATTTGACAGCATGACTGATCAGGACAAACTGGAATTTGAGAAAAGTTTCTGGTTTTCTTTTCAGTATTAGAATTTGAAGCAAAATATATACACCCAACAACCTAAAAAAAAAATCAAGAGATAGCAAAGATATCTAAAACAAATCTCAATTTCAAATGGACAATCAAAACTAATTCCTATCAAAGATTAAATGCTTTGATAGTTTGCTATATTTTGATATCTTAATGTAATTTTCTATTTCAAAAATACACATTTTAAAATATATTTCTATAGTAAAATGAATACCTTGATTTGTTTCTAGACATATGGACACTGTCAATAACTTGTTTCATATAAAACAATAACTCTCACTTTTTAATTCATATAATAAAAGAATAATTTATATCTTAAAATGAATGAATACATTTTTACTGATATCTGGAATACTTATTTAAGAAATTGCTACTTATAAAAATTTCTTATAATCAACAGAATTTACTGAGAATGCGGTTACTTGTAGACAGGAGAAGCTTTACAAGAATTATTCAAGTTTAGAAAAAATTCTTCATTAGTTCATATATTTACTTCCATTCCATTTATATTCTAAACTCTTATTCAAGTTACAAAGATGATTGGATTCCACGTATATCATTTTCTCTAATTTGGTTGGTTCTGGATTGAACCCATGGTGATTAACGATAAGATTAAAAAAGAAAATATTTGGTCTTGATCAGGATGAAAAATTGCACAACACATAAAATTTCTATTCAGTTCTGAATTAATCTAAAGTTAATTTTTAAAGAATACTGGCATTGTATAATCAATTGGATATAACTCCCTAACTGTAGACAGGCTGAAACATTTAAATTTCAGGACTCATATTTATTTTTAAAATACCCTTGGAGAGTGTATATCAAGTTTGTACATATTGTGATTTATTTATTTTTACTACTTAAACAAAAAAAAAAAATCTGAGCTTTGTCATTGAAAAACAATGAATCATTTTTTACCTGCTATGTTTATGATTATTGTTAAATTTTAGGTAATTTTTTTTAGTACAACTGACAAGTATAATGAAAACCTTTTTTCTATTATTTATTTAAATGTAAAGAATTTTAAATATAATCTAAAGAATAATTAGGAATTAGTTACAGTTATTTTCTAATTTATTTAAACTTCTTTTTCAAAATTTATTAGCTAAACTGAAAAAGAAAATGTATTGGCATTATAGAATGGCTGGATGCAAGAAACAAGTTGGATAAAAGCTGTGATGTAAAAGTCCAGTTGACTGCAAAAGAAATTTTTTTTTACAGTAAAAGGGACAGAAATGATTATAATCAGCAGTCCATAATATTTAGATAAGTCAACAGTCCAAGCTGAGCCTACAATAATGGTAATATTCTAATCAGCTAAAATTTAAATGGTTCCATTTACCAGACTAGAATAAATTCAAAATAAATTAATCTTATTTTTATCTAATTTTGAACCTTAATCTGAGCAAAATTACTTTTGTTTATCTGTCATTACAAAGCATTGCATAATTTAAAACTTTCCAGAAAAATTCAAGGTTTCTTATTTAAGTCTGTCACATGTGCTGTAAGAAAAGATTAGCAATAATCAGCCCTACACAATTCTGTCTTCTAATAGAAGAAATAGTCAAAGTAAAATGATTGTTCATTCAAAAACCAATTCTTTTATTGTAAATCAATATTCATAAACTGTAGACATCTCATAGGGATGCAAATAAACACTTCATATATTTGGCCTAAAATGGAAAGGTAAAGAAATCTTAATAGCAGTATTTTGTCTTGTTTTCAAATTTAAAAGCAGTAAAAACTTGAAAATCAACTATTTGCATTATATGGAACCTGTAATGCTCACAAAATGTAATGCTTTTAAATATTTAATATTTATGTTGCATATTCTAATTTGATTGATCATACATTTTTTTTAAAAGATCAAGCATTTTTGTAATGAGTGTTTTTTTTTTTAGATATAATAACCAGAGTAGAAATATTTTCAAAATTAAAATTTTCTGTAATTTAGATGCTATTAAATTTGTTTATCATTTCGAATTGATATTTATTTTTTACAACTGGTATGTATAATATTCACATACATATCTTAATAAATCACGTCTGCTAGATTTTTTTAAATGTTTATATTTTGTCTCAGTAGTAATGTACAGAGGACATTGTACTTTTAACTTACTATTAAAAAATATAAGACAAAATTGACACATTTCTGAATAAATGTGAAATATAATTAGAATACATTTTTTTAAGTAGGTAAAAATCAAAAAAAATTTATATTCTTGTTTTTTACCCTCTTTCCACCCAACCCAATTTTTAAGAAAATCATTAATGACCTTTGATAACAAGTTTGTATAAAATAAAGCAATTTATTATTGTGAGTATTCACTTGTTCACAGACATCCATCTGACTAACCAATATGAGAAAAAGAAAGTAATAAGAAGAAAACTAAAACTATGTTTTCTTTCTAATCCAAAAATACATATATAAGTTTGAAGTCTTGGTCATTGCTTTCATGTGATAAAAGTCAAAAACTTGTAATCATCCAATGTATCAATTCATCAAAAAGTCTCTTCAGAAATTTCTTATCTTCCAGTGGGTAAATTCTTTTCCATCAGGTTTCTCTTTATAATTTAGTATCTTTTATTCAGTACCTTTTATTCCATTTAATGTGTATTTTTATATACATTATATCCAATTAAAAGCATTTCATGCAGGTTCTGAAAATCATGTCTATAAACTTAAATATCAACAAAATCAATTATTGATTATCAATATTTGGGGGGGAATTACCATTAGTTTAGATTTTAAATGGTACCTAATGAACATGTGCACAAACAAGTTAAGAATTTGTGAAGCCTAATTTTAAACAAGTCCAGAATACTTATTTTTAATTTTATATTCATAACATGTAAATCCTATAGAATGAAATTCTCATTGATAATCATTCAACACCTACATACATTAGAGATAAATTCAAATTAAAAATTATTTGTATGTTGAGCAGGATAAAAATGTAAAAGCTATTTTCATAATTGTTCAAGTGAAATAGTTTGAAAGTGAAAAGTAATAAATTCATGCCACAAACAATGATAGCATAAAACAGCCTTTAGAAGAATCTTTTCATTTGACTGCTTCCTGTTTTTTATATACACAACTGTAAATAAGCTTCTTTTTTTTTTTTCTTTTGGACACTTTTGGGTTTTTTTTCAGCAGCTAAATAGCTTAAAACACACTTCCCCACAAATGATGGACAACAATAATCTCTAAATTAGAAAGAGAAAATTTAAGTTGAAGGTCAGCTGATATTTTTCCTTGACTTCTGACCTGGTTTGTTAAGCAGTTCATTCACTCCCTCACCACTTTAATCAAATATGTATTTCACAGCCATCATCTAAATCTAGAGATTCAAATCAAGTTTAGGGAGAATCAGATTCTCCTAAAATTTTTTTCTAAGGTTTCTACTCAGATTTTCTAAAACAGCAAAGTAAGGAAGGTCAATCTAAGTTCAGTCAATGAAAACTGGATGTGACCAATTTGGATTTGAACACACTGTCTTTGTCCATATCAATGCAAGGATTCATGTTCTTTGAATAGGCTTCAATTGACAGCACAGATGCTGCAAGTGTAATTCATTTTAAAAAAAAAAAAAAAAGGATGCATTTCTATGGCAATGATCTTCTGAATAAATGCAAGGTTACAGCAATTAATCTGACAAATCAAGACAGGCCATTAGAAAGACACACAGTAGCATTGCAACAAATCATTTTTTAAAATTATACCTGAAATTTAATTAGAAACCTCAAGAGAATTAATAATTTTCCGATGTAAACTTTACTTTCAATTCCTACTTGGCTTTTTGCAGCATATGTGCTGCAAAAAGCCAAGTAAGAATTTTAAAAGAGAAATGAAGAAGAGATAAAACAATTGGGATTACATTTCTAAACAAAAATATTTCTATATAGAAAAACAATATTACATATATATATATATATATATATATATATATATATATATATATTTAGAATTCAATTATGAATGTGTTTTTTACAAATTATCTTATATTTTATCAAGGTTACAAGAATTTATAAAAAATATTTTATCATTTATTTTTGGAGATTTTCCCAAGTTTAGAAGATTGTTGATATTTAAATCAAACAATCTAAAAAAGA